TTTTAGTTTCTGAGATATTTTAATCCATTGGAAAAACACTTCAATTAATCGACTCCATCCGACTTTACCCGAGCGTTACACATCGAAATATGGCGGCTTAATATAACTCGCTCTCCACAAAAAAAGTGCAATACGCGCCTAAAGAAGTTTTAAAAAAGTTTTAAAATGGTGGGTGGGTGGGTGCTATGGTTGCCATGATATACTTATCACATACAGAAACGCTGACGAAAGTTGCGTTTAGGCGATCTTGCGGATTTAGCTTCGAATGGAAGTGTGGACAAAGCAGTTGGTGGTTTCGTTATCGAACCTGTAGGTTCGCTAATCCTTGTATTATTATCATTAACATTGTTATTATTATTATAAGTAATCTTATTAACTCAACTACTAATTACTAAAAATAACTGATAACTAATTATGAATCCACTCAAAGCCTATATTTATTTATCTTTAGGCAATGTAAACAAGACCTGGATCAACAATCCATCGCAACATGGTTTACAATATCATTAGTTAATTAGAGCTTCTGCTCTCTATTACGATAAATCACTGTAGAATCGATGATATTTCAACACGATACATCGATTAACTAACATTTTTTTCTTCATTCCTGTACGAATAATATCTCTCTCTTGTTGTAATACAAACACAGAATGTATGACGTGCGGTCTGCAGGGCGGAAATAGAGGTTTATCGCTGAGGTCGGAAGTGGAGAAGAGAGAAGGGTCGGTAGGGAATGAGTAATTCAACCAACCTCGTTGGCGTTGGCTTAAATAAATAACCTGCCTCCAGGTCTCCCGCCATTATGGATAGTGTTTTTTTAAAAAGTATCTCCATTTTCCATCCGATTCCTCCTCCCTTCTCTCCGCTACCGGCAAATAGCTTTATCTCTTTGGCCATTTTTTTCCGACCCTGAGGGATGTTTTGTTCGTGGTAGTCCGGAGAGGATAAAGGAAGAATTTAGAAGACGGATTCGTACGTTTTTACAACAAAGATTAGTAGCTATGTGAAGAAGAAAATATTTAATCAAGCTACCTTTTTTATTAGACATTAAAAATGATCGAAACGGTTCTTCTTAGGAATCAGATGAGAATGGTTCTCTAAAAAAATTGTGTAATCTATGTGTAAGAAGTTTTTTAAGTTCTCTTAAGTCTAATTAAGTCTCAGAAGATGGTCTGTGTGTGTGTGATCAACTTAGTTGAAAAACTAAGATTAGTACGGAGCTGAAATTACATATTTAAGATAGATGTAGAGTAAAAGCATCAATAGCTGACATCCTCCTCGAAAAATGGGAATAATAAAATTTTAGAATATCCTAGACCACTATTTCATATATTTTTAGTTTCTATATTTTTCCTCGTATATTTGTCTGTTTTGCTTTAGTCTTACCAGAAATCACAACCGAAATAATAAGTGAAAAATTAGGAAGGTCCCTCATAGTCCATTTAGTATCATTCATTGAAGTTATTGTGGAGCATTTGAATTTTTAAGGACTGCAAATGAAATTATTGATTTTTTTTTTTAAATTTAGAACTCACGTGCCGTTTAAAGCCGGCTTTGTGGTCTTAAAGACCCTTTGAAGTGACCATAAAGTGGACATGGAGGCCGGATTACTGGACGAGCGACTGGACAGAAGGTGGTGGACGGACAGTGCTAATTGGTGGCGTGGCAGAGGATCCACGCGACCACTATAGTGTGGGCGGGCGTAAAGCTTCGACAAAGGACAGTACGCTATTAGTGAGAACTGAAGGGTTTAGTACCCACTTTATATATAGTACCCTGCCTCTGGTATGGTTTAGTACCCAACGGTACAGAGAGGAACCTAACTATCGACCGCTAAGTGCTTAATACTGTTATTTATCACTCGACTACATCAAAGTATAATTATCGTAAATATATAGCAGTCTGGCGCGCCCAGGGATTTTGCTCCGTTAAATTTAGATTATACATACGTGTTTCGTATTCAAGGTGTCCCATAAGTTAAGGGAAATATTTATAGGAGTGGTATCAGACTTCAAAGCTACAAAAAAGTTCATATAAAAATTGGTCCGATTTTTGGGAGGAAACTAGGAAGTTTTGTATTTTTTTTTTTTAAATAATGAAACACTGTAATCTCTATATATATAAACAAAATGTATGTCTGTCTGTCTGTTTGTCCTTTGTGCATTACTAAAATGCATTCATCCGATCGCCATGAAACTTTGGGAACTTGTTCCGTACACTTCTGGGAAGGTTTCTGGCATAGTACTTCTGTCTTAGGATAATTTTATATATGTAAACAAAATAAAAATGAAAATTTTTTTTTTGTTCAAAGCTGCAAAAAATATGTTGCTATAAACGGTAACGCTAAAACGATTTTAACGAAACTCGGCTAAAGTCTTCCCCTTGAAAATCATTTAATTTATGTGTATAACATACTTTCCCGAAAACAAGCTGAAAAAATTTGACGATGAATTCAATATTTTATTTACCGATAACTGAAAAAGTACACAATTTTTTATTGATAATAGCCGCCATATTTATTTGAAAGATTCCTGATTGCCGACAAAATAAAAAAAAATGTCATCAAATAGATAATAAAAAAATTTCTAGCGGTCTTAGGAGTAAAGTGGGTTAATTTTTTTTTTAAGGAGAAACAAAGTTGAAATTTGTATTTCGCACCTCGATAAACCCTCAAATACCAATTTTCACTGGAATCGAAAAATAATTTTTTTTTTTGGTTCAAATCTTCGTCAAGGGTGGAGAACTTCAATTTTATTTCGGAAACCACGTGTGATAACTTAATAATGGCTCCACCTATAAACACGAAAATAATCAGGGATTTAGGGCCACGTAAACTGCACAAGCTACAACAAACCGTACAAGCATATTAGAATAAAAATGTTACGATGAATTCAATATTTTATTTGCCGATAACTAAAAAAGTACACAATTTTTTATTGATAATAATCATATTTAAGATTCCTGAATTGCTGACGAAAAAAAAAAAAAAAAAAATCATCGAAATCGGACGGTTCGTTGCAGAGTAATAGAGTTTTAAACATTTACTGCTTTCTCTTCAGAAAACGCTATTTCCTTTTGCTTCCTCTCTACCGAAGGTCGGCAAGCATTTTTTTGTTTTTTTTTAATTGATTAATCGAATATTTTATAATTACTACAGTAATTGAAATTATCATTTGAAGAAGTTATATGATTCTCCTTATGTAGGTCAATACTATTATACGTTCTTTATATTAATTTTTTATTTTAGTTTTATAAGTTCAACTCGGATTGTTTCTGATGATTATGAATGACGGCGTATTCACTCCGATGATTACGAATGTTCAAGTTGAATCATGAGAAAAAAAATCATTATAATTAGTTTAAATTGAAGCCATTTTACAGACAAATTTGTTTCCCAACTTTTTAAAAATGCCAGATGCCCTTTGGTATTAATCCACTCATCTACGCTTTCTATTTTCTTTCTTTTCCATTTTGCCAGGCTAAGCCACAGCAGCGTGTGGTCGGGTAAAGCTAGTCGATAATAAAATTCAGAAACTGAATCCCCCTCAAAATTTGAGGTTTTATGTTTTAGGATACGTAAAATTCGAAAATCGATTAATTTTTTTTTTTTTTTTTTGCGGTCCGCTCGTTTTCTCGGAAACTACAGCACTGATTTAGTTCCTATTTGAATTTAAAGTCAGTGGTCACCGGACTATTATCAACTATTCGTCTTTTCCTTTCAAGATGGCGGTCGAAAAACCTTGTTCCGTTCAGTGGCTTAATAATTATAATTAATTAATTTAATTAATAATTATTAAGCCACTGTATGTTGCTGTAGACTGTAGCGCCTAAACGAATGTACCGATTTCAATGAAACTTGGCTAAATTCTTCTTGATGCCTTTTAAATTTATCTGTATCATATACTTCAAGGAAGAGGAGCTGAAAAAAAAACTTTAGGAGATGTGGTAAAATTAGATTCCAAATAACTCAAAAAGTATACACTTTTTTGTCATAAATTTACATGTTTATGAAATTTTATAAAAAAAAAAAAAAAAAAAAAAAAAAAAAAACAATCTTAAAATCGGACAATTTGGAGCAAAATTATGGTCTCTAGATATTTTTTATATATTCTACTGCAAATGTTATATCCTTTATTTTGTTTTTTTATTTTTTAAAGTGTTACTGAAGTAATGCTATTTTTTTTTTTTTTAGCAAGTTACTTTGATAAAAAATAAAGTTGTTTGCGCTAGTAATAGGAATCACATTTTATTTAATTTTCTTTGTTACTAAAAAGGTAATGTTCTTTTAGATGTATAATTGTTTGGAAATAATAAACCATTATGAAATAATTTGCAATTTGCAAAAAAATATTTCACTTAAGTAATTAACAATTGCTTCACTGTAAAATAGACAAAAATTTCTTCAAAGGAATATCGTAATACTTTCCTTACCTAGTATAAGTAGAAAAGTAAAAAATATACTTAGATGAACATTATCTGGATTTAAAATAAATAAATGTTACTAGAAGACAACAGCGAAAAATTGATTCAAGTTTGAAATATAAAATACATGTTAAAATATGACTTTTCCCTAACCAACTAAACTTTAAATATAGTTGGCATATATAAGTTATAATGGTTTATTTTAATGATCAGATATCTATACATGTCATTGTTAAAATCATTTAAAGAGGACTTTTCAATGGCTAAACTAAGCTCTGTTTTTAAATAAACTCATAATTTTTAGCGATTTTATTTTGTCATCCTTCAACTACACTAAAGATACCCACTTTACAAAAAACTTTTTCGTTTAATAACCTTTAAGTCCATAATAATTAAGTTGAGGTTTATTAGAGACAAACTTGAGTTTCAACAAAAATAACTACAATAAATTGTTGCAAAGCTTTTATTTATTAAAAAATAAAATGTTTAAAATAAAGATTTAAAAAATATTTCATATAATATGGTTATAAAACTAAATAATATAGAATAATTTAATTAATTTTTTTTTTCCCTTTCAGTATTATCAGCTGCGGGCGATGTTGTCTCAGTCACGCCTAAAGAACAAACAGTGAGGGAAGGAGATCCCATCCAAATGTTGTGTAAAGTAAGTATTATTTAGTTATTTTTAATTAAATATAATTACATTATAAAAGTTTTTTTCAATTAAATTTTGAGTTGTTCTTTAAAAAACTAATTATAATCAAACTCAAGAAAGACCATGATATGATCCTCTGGGCCAGATCATATAGTAATATTTCTTGAGTTAGACTGTCTATTATTTTATTTATTTATATTACAAAAAAAATACCAGTTTCAGAAAGTTTTTATATCTTTAAAATAGTTCATTAAAATAAAAAAATGAATTAGATTTATTTTCTTTGAAAATTGATCAAAGAAAAGATTTCAGTATGATTTCTTTGTTAAACTTAAACGATGTAAACCGGCTTGTAAAAGATCAGCTTAAAAAAAAAATACACTCTAATATTGCTCATCAAAATCTTGTTTGTCATACAATGATTTCTTTAAAAAGTAGAGGGGGAAGTGAAACTTGTGTGGTGCGGGCACCAGATTTTTTACTTTCTATATATATATACATGAACTGTGTTGTCAAAAGAAAGATGGGGAGAGAAAAAAAATATATATATATGTATATACATAAAAAATCATAAGTAATATGTATGAAAAAAATTAAAAAATACTGTTTTTCACATTATTACTTAACATGTGGTTGGTCGTTTTCTGATTGTTGCGAGAAAAGAAATTGGAATAGGAGGGTTTTAAAGATGGATAGGAAGGGAGCATGCTGGAAATAGACCGCTCAACGGATCTCTCAGTGCGACCTTCAGAGTGTTAAATAGATTCCTCAGAATTGGAAACTTTTTATTTTTATAAATTTGTATTTTATTTAATTGTTATTATTATATATTTTATTTGGATTTTAATTCTGGAAATGAATGGAAAAAATATATAATTTGACTTATTTTTTTTATAGCTTCCACAGCCCCTCGAGTTCTGTCGAATTTCTTACCTACCGTCCACGAGTGTCATACTGACACCTAACAAAAAGGATGATCGGTTAAGCTATTTCGGAGAAGGTTTCGAGAAAGGCCATTGTGGAGTACTGATATACTCTGCTAAGGACTCCCATAACGGAAACATCACCTGCAGTTTGACCGCTGTGGGCGCTCTCGGAGAAAAGAGCGGAACGATGAAGCTGACTGTAGCAAGTGAGCATCAGTTTAATTTAATTTTTTAAACCATAATAATTTTTAATAATAAAAAAAAAATACTATTAGAAATATTTTCTCAACTAGGAGGAATAGATCTTTAAATAAATATTAGAATTCAAGAAGTTATCATCCCTCATTAATTTTTTTTTTTTTTAATTTCAATTATTTTCTTTTTTATTGTTATTAAAATTTTAATTATGAATATACATACTTCCTCATTATCCGTTCCTACCTTACTGATAAATACATTAAAGTAAATCACAACAATGTCTATACAACCCGTTTTTCCCAGTCTGCAGGTGTTCCTCAAGGTAGTATCCTAGGTCCTATCCTTTACACAGTCTATACAGCTGAAATCCCAACACATTCCAACACTGTCATCACCACATATGCTGATGACACATGTATCCTATCAGTTAATAACGACCCATCTATTGCATCCCAAACCCTTCAATCCCACATCATAAACCTTGAAGAATGGTGTCAGAACTGAAGAATTAAAATAAATCCCATCAAATTACCTTTACCCTTCATTGTAAACCAATGACTTCCTGTCCTTCAGTATCCTTCAACAACACCTCACTTATTCTTGTTGAACAAATCCGTTACCTAGAACTCCAACTGGACAAACGTCTAACTTGGAATCCTCATACCAGACTGAAACGACAAGAAACATCTCGACGTTTTCGACAACTTCAACACTTACTAGACAAACGCTCTAACCTTCCAATTAATTACAAAAGACTCATTTACTATAATAGGGCCTATTTGGACTTACGTAGTTGAGCTATGGGGCTCCACCAAACCTTCAAATTCCTCTCGTATCCAATCCTTACAATTCAAAATCCTTCATAAAATCCTCAATGGTCCTTACTTTATTACAAATAAAATCATCCACAATGACCTAAATGTTTCTTATGTATCAGATTTGGCCCAATCCAGATATCTGTCCTTCCATAATAAACTTCATAACATCCCAACCCTCTTGTTTCTAATCTTTCTTCCTATTCAATTCCTGGTAACCCTCCGAGGAGTCTGAAAAGAAGATGACCACGTGATCTCCTAATATAGACATATTATTAGAGTGCTACCAATGGGTAGTTTCTCAACATGTGTTTCATGTCAGTATATCCATGTGCGAATTTACTTGATGTATTTTTTTTTATATACATTTGTAAATATATAAATAATAAAAAAAAAAGTTATGAATAATGACAAAAAATAAATTACCAAGTTGTCTGAAGGTGTATTAGGAGTAGCTGATAGCGGAATAGAATTGTCATTTCTATACACCAAAATTACTTTTAATAAATAACAAACCTTTTAATTTAAAATATTATGTGAATTTTACAGAAAGACCATCAAAGCCAGAGTTAATGATTGCAAGGCCTGAAAATCCTGATGGAAATTTCAATGAAAACGAAATTTTAAATGCATTTTGCATCGTCAAGAATGGAAGACCCGCAGCCAACATCACTTGGTATATTGGTAAGGAAATATTACTATAATAATATTTTATATTTTTTTATTTTTAGGCTCCGCAATTTTGTTGTCAGTGTCTTCAATATTACTGAATAAATGTTTCCTTTGAGATTGAACTAAATAATTTAGACATATACTAAAGAAAAAAACTTATTTGTTTACCATACTTATTATGTGTAACTATTTAAAATGTAATATCCATACTATTTTTATATCATGAGGAATTGTTATGGAAGGGGGGGTGTAGTCAAATAAATACTAAATTATGGAAATAGTATTATTTAATTTATTATGCCAACATTTCGACCGACCTTGCAGGTCTTCATCAGGGCTACAAAAGTTAAAAAAATATAAAAGGTACATAGTGAAAATAAAATAAATGAATAATAAGTAGATATAGATATTACATAAGAAAAAGTTGTCTGATAAAGAAATAATAAGATGATATCAGAGATATAGTGGATGACAATGTAGTTAGAATATCAAATATTATATATGTATAGAAGATACAAACAAAAATAGAAAATAAGTATGAATAAAAATAGAAAACAAAGCAGAATATATTATGTAAGTTAAAAGTAAGTAAAGTAAATTCTATTTTCACCATGTACCTTTTATATTTTGTATCTTTTGTAGTCCTGATGAAGACCTGCAAGGTGGGTCAGAACGTCGGCATAATAAATTAAATAATACTATTTCTATAATTTAGTATTTATTTGACCGCACCCCCCGATCAACGCCTTCTCATACTATATTATGGTCAACCATCTCTACATCATTATTTTTATATCAGTTTGCTAAACATATTGGAACAAATGTTTATGTAATTCATGGTTTCAACAAGTAGTGTGACAAACCCTGATTATGTGATAACGTTTTGATGTTTGAATTATATTCACTTTTTCGATGGGTGATGTAAATAAATATGAAATAATTTCTGTGAAAAATGAATCCCAAGATAAGTTTTTTCTGAATTAAAGATTAATAAACACATAATCGATTCATGAAGTAATTGCTTGATGGTAGGAAAAATATCTCAAACATTTTTAAGCAATTCCTTAATTCTTGTCCAATATGAATGGCTGGATTCATGGGAGTTTTTTTTTAAAGTTGCAAGAAAATCTTCTTTGGGTGTGTAAATTAATTTGGAATTTTCTACTCCAGAAAAACTGTAATTAAAAATTGAGAAAAGATAAATAGAAGTGGTTTACTAGATACAATGAAGCCCCCTAAAACAAATATCCAAAAAAACAGCAGAATCATAATATTTTTGAAATCATATTTCTAACCATACTTCACAATCTTGCATCATGGACTCTTCCTGGGAGATTCAGCACATATGCTTGTGAATCTAACTTGAGCATGTCGATTTTAATACTAGCGAAACCATTTCTGTTAATAAATTTACATTCATTGAATGCGTCATACTTTCACGCATTCATTTGATTTAATTTTTTTTTCACAAGTTAATTATTAAATACTAAAACTTATTTTGTCTTCACAGGAGATGAAAAACTGACTGATGGCTTGAGTACCATCCTCGTTGAACAGTATGAACCACAAGACCTCCACACAGTTTCTCAGAACTTGACTCGACGAGTCCAGGCATCCGACAACGGCAAGCAATTGCGGTGCGTCGCTGGTCATCCTCTTCTTAATGACAATACCAATACAACAATTCAGACTATCTCAGTGAAGTGTGAGTAAACTTATTGATTAATTGTCTCCCAAATTCTTTTTACAAAAAAATATATATCTATCTTTTATCCTTATTTTAGTTGCACCAAAAGATCAGAGCCAGCCTTTGGAAAGGTTTGGACTGGTCGAGGGAGAGGAAGGTAAAATTTTAGTAACAGTTATGGCCAACCCAAAACCAGATTTCATGTGGGTCATCGGTGAAGACAGGATTTACGAAGGAGACCAGGACGCTTCTGGAAGGTTCAGAGTCTTAAGAGGAACACCATCAGAGAATGTGAATATTCAAAATTTATTAAAATTTAAATTTATACAAATTTTAAATTCCTACTAAATTAATTTGTATATTTTTTCAGATTCCAGGATCATGGGACTCCGTCCTTGTTATCGACCAATTGATGAAGGAAGATGTTGAGAGGAATTATCAGCTTGTTGCCAAAAATTCACTCGGAGAAAAGAGTTACTCAGTTTCAATTTCAACTAGTCCCGAGCCAAGAAGTAAACAAATAGTTATTTTATATTTTACATCTCATTTCATATTTCATTTTTATTGTAATTTTTATTTTCTATTATGTTAGAAGTGTAGTAGAAAAGTATAAATGTATTTATGGTTTAATTCTTTCTTTGCCACCATTACATCTTTGAGGACCATACGCATATGTATGCTTTCGTTAGCTCTACAAATAATAAACTATAAAAACATTTAATTAAGTACTAAAGGTATTTAAAAAAATAAAATAAAATATGAACAAATTCAATAAACAATGAAATTTTAGTGAACAGTTGTGATCATAAAAATACTCACAAATAAAACAAGTTCCTTAAAAATTCACATAGTGAAATAAACTTTTCCCTTTTTAGCTGCAATATCTTACATTTAACTTAAAAACTATTTTTTTAATATGATTTTTTTTTCTATTTTTTGTTTATTCTATCAACAAATATGCTATTTGTTGATTCTGTTAACAAAGATGATGATTATTGTTTTCACCTCCTACTGATCCAACTAATATGGCATTTGCTATGTAGAGGCTTCCTGATGGATTACCTTGAACTTCATGCCCATCTTAACCTCTCTGCCTTCTTTAAGCAGTTCTTTACAGATCTTCCGCCTTCATGAGTTCATATACTGATTCCAGACTACACAGGTTATCAGTTGGAGGACATTTCTTTTAAATTTCTCAATTCTGCTTTATACAGCCTATTTTTGAGATTTCAGTACCCTTAAAAGACAGGATAAAAGTCTGTTATTTGTTGGTCTATGTTTGATATCTGGTCATTTATTGAAGGTACTATATTTAGGACTTAAGTATTTGAATGTATCTGTTATTATGAATGATTTGGCATTCACTGAGATGCTGTTGTTATGGCCATTTTACATGGTCAAGTTTCTTGACCATAGCTTTGTCCTCAAAGTTGAAGTGAAGTAGTTTGGTTTTCAACCCCCTAAAAAATCACCACTGCCTTTATAGACTTTAAAGAGTTTACTTAACCTCAACCGTTTATACGGTATAGTATCTTGAAAAAAATTGGGATTTCAGTTTACATATTTTTCCGCTAGGTGTGCCAGGAAAGTAACCTTACAACTTAACTTTAAGTGTTGTTTGTTATTTATGTTAACAAATTCAAGAATGAATTACAATTTCCATTAATTAAACTATAAGTATGAGATCTCCCTTAAGTAATGGAAAATATATAATGAAGTAAACTTCAACAGTAACCAAAAAAAGTTTACGTAAACAGTGTAATAATGTTCAGAGATCGACTATCAACTTGGTCATGGCTCCACCCCGACACTTTTATTATTAACAGAATATAATGAAAAGCAGAATCACGATGAAATTAATACATTAGAAAAATAGAGGAATATAAAGCATGTTTTGATTAATGGTATGTCTCTTGAAACCAAGGAGAGCTGCTATAATTTATTCAAAAATTTCCAACATGGATCGATTAGGTCCCATAACTTAACTAAACACAGTTGTTTCTCGGCCAAAGTGAATTCATCCAAGAAACTGGTCGACAAACATAATCCTATAAAAGTACCTTTAGGATATATTTTGTTTTATTTTCATTTACTTTCAGGCCAATTCGCTCTACTTCTCATATAAGTGCTTAAGGAAATTTCTCAATATCATCTTGCTTATCTGGTTTAATAATACAAAATATTATATCCATCAATATTTATACTTTTTTCATTTAATTTCAGTGTTTGAACTTGGAGCTCCAGCCATCGTCGGAATAGTCGTAGCAGTGTTGGTAATCCTGACGGCAGCAGCTTTATTAGTTTTCGCTCGAGCCAAAGGAAGGTGGTGTTTTGCTGGTAAGTTCACTTTAAATTGAACTTTTTCTTTAGTCTGAAGTTTTTCTTATTTAAAGAACAAATAGTTACCGTTAATAGTTTGAACTGTTGAGCAGATAATACACTTTGCATGTTTCAAGTATAAAGTGTACAGTTATTCTGTTTGTCTTTATCTGTTTTCTAAATATCAAAGGTACACACAATATGTCTTCTTTGGTGATGATGATATAACTTGTAGCAGATAATTCTTTGAATTATGTTGTTGTTTTTTTCTGTTTTCTTTTCGATAATCTTGAATTCATTTTGTATTTTTTTTCTTGTGTCCTTTTAAGGGGACAAAGGTACATCTACGTCTCAAACTGACTAAGGCAAGTTCAGTAATTACTCACTACTTATATTGAAGTCTCTTTGCACAATAGTTTAGATGTATGAATTTAGTTTAAATAAAATAAAATAAGGAAATAAACACAAAAGCTTAATATCACTTATTCACTTGCATTTCTGTAGTTCTGTAAATGTTTCCTGACCTCTCATTGATTGATTTCTAACATCAGTGGATGCATTGCCTGGACGTAAATTTAATCACGGTAGGATGTTGTTTATATGAACTAAATGAAACAATGGAAGTTAAAAAAATGATTTTAGTACAAATGACAACTGCATTTTTATATATATTTCTATTTAGAAATAACGGAGTGAGAAAAAAAACAATAGAAAGATATTTCTTGATTGAAAATTTTGTACCTGGAAACAGCTCTATTCCAAGCTAAAAGATAGAAGAAACCATACCCTATGAGCTGGCAGAAAATAATTAAAATAAAACAATATATTAAAAACTAATATAAGTAGTTGCTTGACATTTTCTTAGATGTTAAATTAATAATAAAATGATGTCGTTATTACAATTAAAATGAATAAAAAACACTAAAATTTTCTTTTGAACAAAACAATTATTTTACAGTCTCATATATTTATGTTTAGGAGCTTTCTGCGCTTTACACCATATTCATCTAAAAAATATTTTTAAATACACATTAAATTAGAATATGTATACATATATAAATATACAAGAATCATACATTATACATATATAACTATACAATAAATTAGAAAAGTTATACATTAAATTTGTTAATTGTCACTGCAGGAATCCGCCAATATCTCCACATACCTTTACAATGCTTTTTCAATCAAGTTTATGGACGTCGTTCTTCGTATAAATTTTATCAAATATTATAGATTGGTGTCTAAATTTACAAAATAATTTTTGTTTGGGCTTGTCATCTGTAAGTTAAAAAATTGTTTAAAACTTTGGTGTGATAAGTAATTAAGTGTTATAATTCGTTCTATTTTAACTAACCAAAATTTATTTATAATATCACTTACTATTGGTGGAGAGAGGACCTTTGTTGTACTTCACTTTCCGATTTACAGTCTTACTGTGGGTTTTGAAACGTGTGTTATCATCAGAACTCCCACCCCAAAACAACCATAACCCCCTCCACTGTTAAAATTAAAGAAAAACGATTTTTTTATTATTTCTAAATAATATATATATATATATATATATATATATATATCTAAGTCAGGCAAAAAATATGATTCAGTGCACCTAAAGCTCCGAAACATAAATATTTATGAGACCGTAAAAAGAAGAGTGTTTTTTCTTACTTTCAGTATAATTGCACAGTCTACCTATTTAAACGTAACAATTATTATTTTAGTTTATGGATAGTTGAGAAATGTATTTATTTTTTTGGATCAGTCATTGCTATGGTTTAAATAAAACTAATACTATTATTGTTTTGTTGTTATGATGACTATATCATTGGACTAATTCCTAGCAATAGATATCTAAACATGGTTTTCTTCCTAAGTAACAATGTGAATGAATATTAAGGGAAGTGGTTTTGAACGAGTTCATTAATATTCCCGACATTCATTCATATAATCGACTTCCTACCGTAGTTATTAAAAATCGTTACTATAGCAATGTTTACATTATCTTCATATCCAACGCCATTAGAATCTGAGATCTACCCGATTTTTTACTTCCCTATTAACTATTAACTCTTATATTCTTGTTACTTCCAATGTACCTTATATATTAAAATATTTGAAATCTCACTGAACTAAACTAGAATTATTTATTATTATTGAATTATCTTTTTAACAATAGTTTTTGTAGAATGCACCAATTATACATTTTTTACTTACTGCTAGCATGTAAAGAAAAAAAAACCCAAAGCTTAAAAACTGAAGATTTTCACTTATATGATCAATTTTGTTCTATTAGAAGATGATATCTAATCATTAATAAATAAATTGTTGTCAAAACATTCCTAGAAAATAAGTTATTAACAAGGAAGATTTTAGCTTCATGTTTTATTTATTAAAGTTTTTTGGTCGCTCATTATTTATTTTCAAGATATCTGTTTATTTTCTTTAAAGCACGGTGTCCAAAGATAAAAATTCAATTCCAAAATCATCTTCTATTTTATGAAAACAGAAGGGTTACGAAATTAAATCAACACAAGAGTAAAATATACTTTATTGTATGAGCTTTATAATTTTTTAATAATTTTCGGAAAATGTTTCCGGAATAGAAAAATAATTATTGGCGACATTAAGGAGTTAAGGAGGGAAGGCATCCATCATCCTGCAATATTTTAAATAGTTTCATTTTTGTAAGTTTAAGATTCTAGGTCCATTATAAATCATGATACTAAATTTTTTCATGTAGTCAAAAGTTACATGGTATAATCCCCAGTTTTAGGCACTCTTAAGGAAACTTCAAAATGTGTTTGTTTTGATTCAATCGGGTGGGTATTTGGTTCAACAATTTTTGTTCTATTATGTCAGTAAAGATCTCTAATTAAAATATATATATATATATATATATATATATATATATATATATCATCTACTTTTTTAATAGTAAAACAGGAAAACATCTATGTGCGCCAGTTTTTGGCACCTGTTACCCAATTTTCAAAAACATAAAATTAAACCTTCCAAATGAAAGAACTACAATGATATTGTGCAAGAATGTGTGTTTCTTGCCAAAAACATAATACACATGCTTCCTGGGCGACAACCTGTCAGTTTTCTATTCTTCAGCAATTTTTTCTACCAATAAAACTAAATAAATAGCAAGAGATGCAAGAATATGCGAGCGCAGAAGGAATTCCCTCTTCAAATAAGCCCTTTCGCCAGCTCTAGACCATTCCCGACGTTTGATATTTTCAATATGTGTAGTGGTTGTAACAAACTGGGTGGGGTGCCGACAAGTAGGATTTTACCCTATAAATTGGGCATGAGTTGATATATTGTCAATCAATTCTTTAAAACTAACTGCGAAAGATTAAAACAATAATCTGTACCACTAAACCGAATTCATAGAAAAAAATTAACTATTACAAATAGAATTGATGTTCTCAGAATATGAGCTTAGCTGGTTCCCTGCTGTCCATTATATTGAAATTTTTCAATCAAAATATATTTATCAAACATTTTTCTGTCGGTTATAGAGAGTGACTGGTATTCGGAAGACCTTAATACTATAAAATTATTGAAAATTTGATGTAATTTATGAAATATTTTACTGTAGAAAAGTGTTCTCTTCAAAGGTTTTAGTTCTCTGGGAAGGGATATTGAAGTCAGAAACTCTACAACAAAATTGTGTGGATGGACCAAGGGTTAAATTTGCCGGAGACTGTAGATCTAGGAAGGATGCTAGGAATTAATAGTTTGGTATAAGAAAAGATCAAAGGAAATAATGTCGATAAGAGAAGGGAAAGAGGCACGTTAACTTACAATAGAGGTGGGACACATAAGAACATCTCAAAATACCAAAGACCTATCTTTACAGTTAATGATTCACATCAATTTGGTCTCGGGTACAATTGAGAGACCACTGTATACTATACAACCGTATTCAAAATAAGGGGAAATGAGTTTATTTATCATTCAAAGTTCTCAGTTATTTTATTTCGAGATTAATAGTCAAGATAGGGTTGGTTTTGTTTAGAACCATGCCTTATTCATTAACGAGCAACAGGGCCTCTTTAATAATATTTCAATTTTCTTTTGGTTTCAAATAACTTTTTCTTTCAAAATAATCTCTTTATTAAACAAATAAAGAATTATAGATTCTTGTAATTTCTTATAAATAATTAAAAAATGCATGTGTTTCGTTATATATTAGAAATCCTTTAGTTCTATAGAAATAATTTTTTTTGTTGTATTTTTGACTGCATGACGTGTTTGCTCTATGCTTGGATTTTTTCACATGATTTTTGCACCATTTAACAAAGCACGTGTAAACCATAATTTTCATATTATTGTTGGAATGTATATCATTATTTTATTATAATCCTTATTGAATTATTATGAGCCTTAACTTTTTTTTTTTTCTTCTTTCAAACTTGTATACTTTTTAATGATGCTGCTTCATCTTTCTATGTATATTGAATTTCCATATTTATGAAAATCTCCATTTTTTTTTAAACTATCTTCTGTTTGTTATAACTTAATGTATTTAAAATCAAATTTGTATACATTCAATGAAAAATTAAATATGTATGTACATATATACATTTTTTTAGATGAAAAATATATTGAAAACTATTTTGTCCTAAAATAAGAAAAATCGAATAGTAATTGAACCGAAAAGAAAATTAAAATATTAAAAAAAATCTTGATGCTAGAATAAATTTGTAATAACCTTTAGTTTAAATGCATTAAAGGATTTTTAAACTAAATTATTTAAATATAGAAAAAATACTGAAAATACACAGATCTAGTTCATAAGGATTTAAAAACAAAATATTTTTGATTTTTCTTATTTTGGGTTAACTATCATATATATAATATGATATATTTTATTTTTATATATTGTCAAAGTAGTATTCAATTTTACTTATTAATGTGTTTAAAAACTAATATACTTTATATTTTAAGTCGTATGACACTATTTATAATTCTTTCATTTTATTTTATTTGTTTCATAATTATAAATT